GCCCCAGACTGCTCGTCTTTGTTACGTCTCTTCCATTTCCTCACCATAAAGCACTATCGTTTGTCGCGCATGTTGTTACAATCGCTTCAACTGCTTTTAGCCAAGCTAGTTTTTTTTCTGAATTTACCTTTTTTAGATGTGACCTATTATATCTAGTGCTCATTTCGAAATATCGAGGGCGTTGTAGTGCTGGGTTAGGCAATTTTTTTCATTTTCAGTGAACTCCGTACCTACAGTTTCCCAGAAAGGTTTTATGGTGAGGAAATGGGAGAAACGTAAAAAAAACCAGCAGTCTAGGGGAAATGAATGTGGAGGAAAAATAGCGCAAAAAAAACAAGAAAAAGCGGCGTTTATAAGCAGATATCGAATTTTGAGCCCACGTCGTGGAGTGAATGGTTGAATGGTTGTTTGTTCCAGTTAAATTAACGGGCACCCCAAAATTCAAGCGTGCGTTAGTTTCAGCAATAATTATCCGCCGTTTTCATTCAACTCATGAGTTTATTAAAAAACCAAACAAAAACAACAATAAATGCGTAATCTAACAAACGCTTTAAAACAGTCCTCTTTGTAACCGTGCCTTCATCCAAGGCTTCATCGAGAAGAATTAAAAATTATTCGGTTTCGTGCTTAATTTGTACTCATATAGCATAATCAATGTTTTTTGCTCGCGTCTACTCCAGAGTGAAGCAAATACACAAGTGTTGTACATCAAAATGTACAAGAGATTGCGCGCTTTCAGACTACATCATAATCTTTGAAAATAATCAGCAAAAATCAAAGAGCCATGAGCCTGAAAAAGGGCGGATAATTTTTGCTCAGCCTAATAAAATGTGATGATTTCGGATCGTTTAGCCTTCACCTCTTCACTTAACAAGCAGACATTTGTAACCTGTCCCCTGACTTGACAATATATCCCGGTGTGTAAAGAGTTCTATACCGTGCAATCGTACTTTACTCTATAGGCCGTTCACCTCTTCTTCAATCAAATCAATTCCAATCCATCAACGTACCTACTCCCTTTGTCTGCGCAAACTTATTGAGCAGTTTCTTCATGTTCTCCGATCTCCCTTGCATGCTTCGATCATTAGACTGGAATTATAGACAAATATATGCTTGTATAAGGTCCCACGCCTTATAAAAAAGCAGATACGTCTTGTGCAGACACGCCTTAGCCCGATCATTTCGCATTCCCCTTTTAAAAAGAATTCTGTAGAAGAAGGTTCTGTAATGTCACAACGAGTACATGATTCTTGTTTAGTAGCGAGGAGTACAGAAGTCCGTGAGCTTTTACTCCATACTACCATACTTGAAAACCGTTAAGGAAGTGGAAGCACATGATCGAGCGCCTCCTTAAACATGATCTACTGCATAGGAAAAATCACTTATAGCTGTGGTATCAAGGTACTAGATATGCCTTGCCAATACTGCTTTCCATCTAGTGATAGCCCATATGACGAAAACATTATGGGAGCTAGCAGGAGAATTACTGTCGACGCTGTTGTTCGCTACGCAGTTGCACAGTTGCACAGGGTAATAATTTGGCAATTCCCATACCAGTTTTATTTGGACACATACACAAACATGCACTAAGCTTTAATGAATCAGTGAAAATGATTGAAGGTAGGTTACAGATAACCGCTGCGTTGTTGCGCCAGGACTATCAACGATGTGTTGGACGTTGCAGTAGGAGCTTGAGAGACCAATCGCTAGTGTCGTATAACTTCGTATAATGTATGCTATACGAGCCTTAACTACCTATTTGCTCCCCTCATAAGCACGATCACTTTCTCACGTACTTTTCGAGATAACACTATTAGACAAATCCCTCTCAAATGAGGTTGCTGGTTCCGCGTAGAGAGAAGTCACACACGCTTTTTTGGACAACAAATGCCCCCGCCCGAGAAAGGGCCAACATCGAGAAGTAGCAGGCAGTTACATGGGCCGTATGCAACAAGCCCCGAAGGTCTTCGGGGATATATCCCCGAAGTCGTATGCAACAAGCCCCGACGATCGTCGGGGACATATCCCCGAAGTCGTATGCAACAAGCCCCGACGATCGTCGGGGACATATCCCCGAAGTCGTATGCAACAAGCCCCGACGATCGTCGGGGACATATCCCCGAAGTCGTATGCAACAAGCCCCGACGATCGTCGGGGACATATCCCCGAAGTCGTATGCAACAAGCCCCGACGATCGTCGGGGACATATCCCCGAAGTCGTATGCAACAAGCCCCGACGATCGTCGGGGACATATCCCCGAAGTCGTATGCAACAAGCCCCGACGATCGTCGGGGACATATCCCCGACGACCTTCGGGGCTTGTTGCATAGGGTCGTCGGGGAGGATTCGTCGGGGATGAATCCCCCTAGTCTCGACTATTCATCCCCGACGGCCTCCAAACGTACGTGTTACTTGAGCTAACTCAGTGGTCAGTCAGTTGGACTGTCGACGCGTAAGCGTTGCGGTCCAGCCGACCTCGGTGATGAAACGATTTTACGTATATATCCCACCCTGCGCCGGTGCAATTGCGTACCGCAAGCGATTACAGTACGCCCACGCCTAGTTCTACTGGCGTTGACAGTTTGTAACTGATGATCACAGGCGGGGGGGCTCGTGATGAAGGAAATGGGAAGGCTAATCAATTCATAACTAGCACAGCTCCGAATATTGTACTGAGTTGAGCCATGCATTTCTCCTTTCAGATAGGTGACGGGTACCGAGAGATGCTCTACATATCGTTGGAAAACCATTGCGCGCCTGGAAACCACTCTAATTCCTCATGTCATTTACTTCTTAACATGCAAAATAGGGTAATGTGCTAGGGTATTTATAATGTTCCGCACTAGAACAATCATTGATGCCATTATGCATTGTACCAGTGCAGTGAGGGACTCGAGGGACGAAGTTTACTTGGCACCTGAGGGAAGAGAGAGTTCTAATTCGTGAGGTAGTTTTCATCATGAACTGCTTAGTAGTTGCGTCTCACGGCCACCTTGTTTTCGAGTTGTTAGTTGATTTATTCGCAATTGTAGATATTTCCATAGACATAGAAATCTGATACGGAGGTATCCTTGTGAGGATGACTTGTGCTGAAAGTGAGAGCGCATACTTGTAGATGATAGGCACGGGATATGTTCATTCTTTCTGTAAAAGATGCCGTAAAATGTAATTCAGTTCCATTGGAGATAATCCGCTTACAGGAGCGTTTGCGTTACCGTTGCGAATCAATTTCTTGAGGCGCTAGTGTACTCAAAAGGGGCATGCTCACGCTGACTGAGCCTTGGAGAAGAGGGTGAACTTTGAGGGTAATGAAAACTGCTTACACATCCCCCTAGACTCACAGCCTAGTACTAGGGGGACCAGCAGGGGCGGGGAGGAGCGTGATGACTTGGCGCTTTTATTCGCCAACCTTGTGTGGGATTTTACAGCTTCTGCGTTGGAAGATAATAGCAGTTCTTTACGTAAGCTGTGAGCAAAAGCTTAACTATTGCGCTATAAATGGGAAAACTGTTCTCCACGATTCCAATCATTTTGCATCAAATGTTATGTTCAGTGTTCGCTTCCACTTTTGCTGCATAGGAGATAGGAATTTTTTATATCCACTACCACAAATATTCACTGCTGACGTCTCGAAGATATATGCAAAAAACTGCTAGACTAGATATAAGTCATCTAGTCTTATTATTTCCTCTCATCACAAGTTCTACCCGTAGTTATTCAATCGAAAACAGGGTGCCAACGATAGCGGAACTAGCCGTGAGAGTACTGTAATCGCCTGCGGTACGCAATTGCACCGGCGCAGGGTGGGATATATACGTAAAATCGTTTCATCACCGAGGTCGGCTGGACCGCAACGCTTACGCGTCGACAGTCCAACTGACTGACCACTGAGTTAGCTCAAGTAACACGTACGTTTGGAGGCCGTCGGGGATGAATCCCCCTAGTCGAGACTAGGGGGATTCATCCCCGACGAATCCTCCCCGACGACCCTATGCAACAAGCCCCGAAGGTCGTCGGGGATATGTCCCCGACGATCGTCGGGGCTTGTTGCATACGACTTCGGGGATATGTCCCCGACGATCGTCGGGGCTTGTTGCATACGACTTCGGGGATATGTCCCCGACGATCGTCGGGGCTTGTTGCATACGACTTCGGGGATATGTCCCCGACGATCGTCGGGGCTTGTTGCATACGACTTCGGGGATATGTCCCCGACGATCGTCGGGGCTTGTTGCATACGACTTCGGGGATATGTCCCCGACGATCGTCGGGGCTTGTTGCATACGACTTCGGGGATATATCCCCGAAAACCTTCGGGGCTTGTTGCATACGACTTCGGGGATATATCCCCGAAGACCTTCGGGGCTTGTTGCATACGGCCCTGTAACCGTTCTGGTGTCTGCTGTCTCACTCTTCACTACCCTCCCTTGTTTCCATCTGTCAGTCTCATTCGAATACAATGTTTCGAACCAATTGTTCTCCAGACACCTACTAATATTTATTTTTGGGGATGAGAACCACCTCAAACATTCATTCCTTTCATAAAAAAGGAAAATTAATTCTTGCTCCGAAAATCTCATCACTTCAAAGCAGAGGTCGCGACGAGTCGGTGCGCTTTCTGTTCGAAAACTAGACAAAACTGTGCTACGCCGGAGAAACACTGGACTGCGAAGAGAGGGTGAAGGAGGGGCAGCGTGCCGCACGCAGAAGAGCGCGGAAGAACCTCCGCAGTTGTTGTTCATGAAGATGGCAGCACACAGGGATTGGCTACCTTATGGCCTTTTAAAGCTGTGAACGTGCAGATGGTCCCGCGTACCATCATTCAAGGAGAGAATTTCTACAGAAAGGCCTCATCGCGACCCATGCTATTTGAATTGTGAAACATCTTTGAGTCTGAATCAGTGTTGAAGTTAGCGAGTCTGATCCTATTACTTTTGTTATTTTCACAAACTCCTCCAGGCCCGTCTTTCATGAGAGCATATTATTCCGATATACTTACACCTTGTTCTGGAGTGTAGCTCTCGTTAACATTGTACTTAAGTTGATTGAACTCCTTTGGACTCATCCACAGTGGCGCTGCATTTTGATCGGATGCCAGGCCAGGTTCGATATTGATGCTGCCACACTCGCCCCTGAATTTTTCAGCCCTCAGTGACCAGCTGAAAATGTGTTGCGACTCTATTTACCCGATGAAGTTTCGTATATCGGCCGCAGTCTGTACACTCGCCAAGCTGGGCGATGAGTAAATCGCTTTGGGAACGGCGTTCCGAGTAACTAACTCACGTGCAAATATCTGCGCTATAATTCTCCCAACCTGTAATACGTCCACGAGGTTTATTTCTTCAGAACGGGAACCTTGATTTATACTTTTTCATATTTACAAAAATAAATGAATGAATCACCTCGCTGATAGGAGGATCAAGTGTGTACGCATGCCTCATGTTTTCACGGCGTGGCACTCTCACCGGCATGTTCTAAAATCATTATTCCGTTAGACTATTACAGTTAGACATATAGACTCCACCCTGCCAAAACTCATTGCCGTAGACTATATGCGGCATGCATGCTTTCAATGGATCTGATTAATGTTTCTTACGGGAGCTTATTGTAGTGCTGCTTATAAGGCAGTCATTTCCCACAGCTCGTCTATGCCCGTGAACCCCATCATTTTTCGGAATCTAACGTGGTCTAGAGCGAATAATTGAATAACTAAAACGATAACTCGACCTGCTCACTTCTCAGGACTTACAAGGTCTTTCAGGGCAAGGTGCGCTTTTTCAAAACGGTTTTGTGCATATTGTAGGGACGCATGTAGGGAACGCAAAACCATGTTTCATTTTCGCTGAACGGTTTAGCAGTACCAAAAAAGAAGCATAAGGTACTGTTAAGGGTTCGATCCCCCGTGGCGACTAAATTTTGCATTTGGGTTGGCGCCTACGGTTTGGTGCCAAATCGCGCTAAATATCAAAATCAGATGTCAAATTCATCGTCAGGACCATTTTGAAGCCAACAAGTGGCCGCCAACCTTGATTGCAAAATTTAGTCGCCGCGGGGATTGAACCATCAAGAGTATTATTCACCACTTTTTTGGTACTACTAAAACCGTTCAGCGAAAACGAAACATGGTTTTGTGGTCCATACATGCGTCCCTACAACATGTACTAAACCGTTTCCAAAAAGCAGCACCTTGCCCTGAAAGACCTCCCTCTACGTTAACAACTATTACAGCTTCGGGATGTCTGATGGTTGGTTCATCGATTGAAATGTCAGCCTCATGTGTTGCTGGACACGCGGCCGATGAATTCCGTGGCCTCCCTTCCAACGGTCAGATAAGGATCCTTTATCAGATTGTTGATCGCGATTCTGTCACTTGGCAAGCTTGCTCCGCGTGGGCCTTATTGATACTTTATCATATCATGAAATCAACCCCGACGGACTGCTGAATGATTTTCTAGTAGGTGGATGAGACATGTGCACAGGAACACAGACGGACGAGTACTATTGCGATTAATTGCAGGGTGGTGAGAGGGTAGTAGATGCGATTGGGACCGCTGTGCTGTCCACCAGATCTTTATGTAATGTATATTAAAACGTTTTTGAAACTCTTTAAAGGCCTGTGCTTGTATAGAACTCCACAAGTTATTACGGGTTCAAACTTCAACTCTCGCTTCTTCTTCGCATCGATCCGTACTCAAGAGACTGCCTAAGGACAGTCTCCGGAATTGCGACTACGCACTGCAGCTCTTCAACACTACGCTCTGTCTGCTATTTATTCATTCGCCACGTATACAAAATGTCGTCAGGAGATGAAATCCCACCGGCGATCTTCACTTAGGAACGACAGTAGAAATGATCAGCGAGAATATCCTCACAGCGCTGGTGTTCTATAGTCTATATCGGAGAGTTGGGGTAGGTGTGCAGCAGTTGCATTTAATAGATGCTTCGCGGTAAAGCGCTATCAAGATACATCACTGAGATTCTTGCAAGAGCATTCTGTTACACAAGCTTATCACGCCAACATTATCAAGTGCGGACTTGCAGCACTTTAGTTCCGGCGACACGCCCATTCCCAAATCTTGGTTGATGGACTGCGTCTTGACGCCACTGAAGTATCACTGGTTTTTTCTTATTGGTTTCTCAACGGCTGTCCGGCGATCCCGTTTCAGTCTTGTCGTAGAAATTACACAGAACTCGAAACAACCTTAACAGTCATCGTCACTTCAATGAAGGTGTGCCTCCCTGCTTAAGCACCGCCTGTTGGATCCCACTCCGTTCCTCCGAGCTAACTTGAGCGAGTTGTTTCGTGAAGCTCACTCAGCCAGGGGGCCATCATCGTAAATTCTTGCACAATATTGGAGTTGAGCTGGCAGTACACTTGCTGGATGCGACGTACATATCAGTATGAGATATTTGTGACTTTCCACGGATGCTGCTGTTTGCATGTAAAGCTGGATTTCCCGTAGAAATGTTAGAGGAAGTGATCGCGATAAATCTTATAGGGACGACAAGGAAGGGAAGGTTACGTAGCAGATCCGTTAGAGCTCTTACCCAGTGAGACGATAGGTGGCGCTTTAGGTGGCAGTGAGTGAGGACCACGAGCGTTTCATTTTCACTGAATTTTGAAGAGATGGGCTGGACATGCTACGCGATTTTACGATTTCCACTGCACATGGGCAGTCCCCTGCGGTCCTGCTAAGACGCCAATTCAATAATCTAACTATTCACGGAAGCTCTTCACAAAGACATGAATTTATCACATCCTTCGACGGACAGAAGCCTATTGTCTATTGTCAGGTCTATTGTCGGTCTGAATAGACTAATGAAAATGTGGCTACTCTTGAGCAATTCTATGCTCAACAGGTCGACTAGTAATTCATATAAAAAGTCAGCTCAATAAACCGGAAATCATGTTTTTGTGACTGCGGGGATTTTTGCTGTCACACAGGAAATTTCCGCGTTATTGCGGAGACGGTGTCCCTTACCATGGCGGTTCCTGTGGTAGCCTTTTCGGCGTCATTCATGACACAGCTCAGTGTTCGGGCATTGACAATTATGATGCACAAACGAAATAAAGTTAGACCTTTTATTTGGATCATCAGGCGGCGTTAGTGTGGACGAGACGCTCACATTTCTGCGCCTCGTGCTATGTTCCGAGACGCGGTAAGGTAACATCTCTGTACGAGTTGTGGTCCTTGCTCACGTGATACCGACGCACGATCGTTCCGCGGGCTCCACATTTTCTCTACTTCTGTGAGCATCGCCTCAGCATCACCCTGACCCATTGCGATGCGCAGCACAAGATCTGCGACTCCCGCTTTTCCTCTCGGCCCCGGCGGCGACAACAGCCATCATAAAAATCAGGGGTCAGGATTACTGGCGCAACGGCGTACTCCTACTACTCATTGCTACAAATCACTTCAAACAACCTTATTCTTCTGAATTCTGCTTTGCACCCGCCATTCTATCCGTGTAGGAAAAAATAAGAACAATAGAAAGAAAAAAATTTCAATGAAAAAGTTTCAGGGCTGTGAGTTTAAAACGGCCTCAAAGGTGTCAGGTATTGCCAGTGACAGAAGCTCCAGGTTCAGCGGTCTTAGTGTGCTGTTCAGAAGTCGTATTGGAGCCTCCAAGTGATTGGCGACGAATCCCTTTTGTTTTTCCACCAACTTTCTTCAAATTTGGTATCACCACGGCTGTAAATGTCATAGCGGCGCACACCCATTCAATTTTATATTGTGACTTATGTAAACCGATGTTGAGAGATCTCATCATCGATCATTATCAACACGGAAAATTTATTTTCAAAGATGTTTTGTTGCCTGCAGTACACCTATTCCTACGCTTACATCGCGTATTTTCCGGGTTTAGACCGAGTACTGATGCTCCATACCTTTTTGATTCAACTACACATACTAGCTGTTCAGGCTTTCTCAATAGTTTCCATGCAGTTCCACACTACCCTTTTCATCCGTACCATTCTCTTTTGAAAGAAGCGATCACGCTGGCTTCCACGTGGGTCTGCTACTTGCGTTATCAATCGATAAGGTGTGAGGCAGTAATTGTTGGACGAGTGTAAGCCCATGGAAGATATGATACGATGAGATAAGAAGGTGCGGCTGCTTGATAAGAGGTGCACTCCGGAATAAAATCGCAAGATATTAACAACGGTATATACAGGGGTGGCCAAAAAAAAGAGACACTTTGCCCATGGCGCACATCATCGAACTTTTCGTCGCACAGGGAGCCGATGTTAATGAAAGTTTTACGGCGGAATATTCCTTAGGTGTTCCCCCGTAAGCAGAAGCAGGCCCTCCTTCACTGCCCCACCGTCTTCAGAATATGACGTCATCTGCCGTCACCGTCGAGCTCAACGAGGCTTACCGTAATCGCTCCGGCCTGAAGCTGCTACATAATTTCTTCAATGATTAACTGGTGAATAGCTTCTTAGAGACACTAGCTGTGACTGTGCAAGACCGCTTTTGACCAGCGTTTCAGGGACGTCGTAATGGTCTATGGTACCTCGACGAGCTCGTACCGTGAACCATGTTTCCGTGGGAAAATCTTCTGATGTCGTCGGTGTAGAAGGCTGTCATGTAACTTTTAGATAGATTAGAATGTGCTCTTTAATATGAGTTGGGTCAGTCGATTTGATTTAGCAAAGTGTGATTAATGCTGGCTGAACTGTGGAGTG